AAGCTATACCTGTCAGCTCTTGTTTCTGATTATATATATATATGTGTGTGTGTGTGTGTGTGTGTCACAACCCCTGGTAAGCCCCAATTATGGGAGGAAGCTAACTGCTTCCAACATCTGTCAATCGGCTCGTCACAAGAGGGGAACCTTTACATACATACATACATACATGTGTGTGTGTGTGTGTTGGAAAAGTCAAGATAATTATCTTGGAGGGAGGCTGAGTCCAAGTATAGTTGTTTTTTTTTACTGGGATAAGCCTATTTTTAGGACTTGCCCATCTCAAAATCTCAATTTCTATTAATTTTATCAGTTACGGATGAGAATCACTGGGGAGATCGCTTTTCCAATTGCAATTGACCCCTTTCCTGTGCAAAAGCTAGATCCCCCACCCACCCACCCCTATATGGGAGGGGATGGAATGAATCTGGATTATATTGAAATTTGGAATTAGGGATTCACACATCTCGCCCTTCACATTATTTATTTATATTACATTGATTGATTAGCTCTTGGGCCATATCAAAGTGCAGAGTTCCAGGAACAAATTATTACTAACATTTGATAAACGCAGTTTAAAATGAAACTGGAATAAAATACAATTTAAAATGAAACTGGAATAAAATACAATAATTTTTAAGGTATAGATAAAATATAATTAAATTATATTTCGGTGTCACCCCTACAATCTACCCCAATCAGTCCCACATATGCAGAGCTCAACTGAATCATTTTGCTTATTGTGTACCGTGCTGTATTAAATGTTATTTTCAGATGCTGGCCGCGCATCCGGCAAGTTGTTTTGATATGGGGATCCCAATGGGTCAGTCGTTTGCTATATAGACCAAGGGACCGCTAAACCGCCGGCTTAATGAAAGCCATCATCGCTCAGCTCATGTTATCACCCTAAAACCATCCAGCCAACCCACCATATATATATCACGGTCTAACACGACGGGCGAATTAAGCACAACAAGCGTCCATCGGATGCAAGGTTTCTGTCGAAATGGCGGCATCGAGGCTTGATGGATAAGTAAATCAAGGAGCCGCGCCGAACCGAGATCGGAAACCGAACGGATGGCAACGGATAGCATAGCTACTCACCTCATCGCGCGTATCGCCAAGGCCGCGAAAGCCCCGGCGGGCCGTTTATATACTGACCTCTGGTCTCGCGAGTCTTCGTAAATTGACGTCAGCAGAACGGGAAAAAGGATGGGGTGAGGCCGGCCGCGCCCTTTTGAAAGCGGTCAAAAGGAACTCTTCGAGAAGTTGCTCCGGGTGGAGGCTAACGCCCTGCGCGCGTGTTCCTTCTACCTGCAGTAAGTAAAGCCAATGCAACTGCGGGGACGATTTGCAATGGGGAGGAATACTAGTAATTAAGGCTGCGATTGAATACCTTCCGTAAGTGGTGATCCTCGGCTGTGGGCTGTGCCTGATAGGATTTAACACATTTGGAAATTGGGGGAAACGCTTCAGTGCAAGGTGTGTTTACCCGGGAGTAATCCCTATTGTAGCTAATGGAGCTTCTATATAGGAGCAATAAAGCTTGCATCGGACTCCAAGGAAATTTGCAGAACTTTGAGGCTGCTTTTTACTTTGGAGAAACCTCTGTGGCAAATAGGTGGTGGGATTTTCACACGCTAAGATAAAGGTTTGTTTGTAGGCTCTTGTGCAGCTTCAGTCTGGGTAGTTATATAGTACTTTGGGTGTGAATCCCAAAAAATGGGTGTTTTAGAGGAGTGTTTTCCAAAACGGGGGACTTCTGGGAGATATGAAGTCCGCACATCTTAAAAAGTTTGAAAATCACTGCTCTTAAAAAAAAAAAAAACAACCCAAACACAACCGTTGAACCCAGGCTTCTGAATAAGTTGCATTTTTATTACTCATCTCAGAATTTCTGCTTTATGGAATGTTCAATGGCTTAGCATAAGATGCTCCTAATAAAAATATTAACTGAAAACTATAAAACACGGAGATGGCAATTTGGATTGGCTATAAATAATACAGTTTCTTTTTTAAAAAATTGTTATTTTGCTTATACAAACTTCACATCTTTGCAACACATTACACTTCTTTTACATATCTGTTGTGATTCTTTTATCTGTACAAATAAGTCTTTTATAACTATAACTTTATATGTGCATTTATATTTCATACATCTTTTTCTTCATTCTATATATATATAACATTCTATATATTCTATGTAGAACAACCTATTTAACAAAGTAATAAAAAAAATATTGGAATGTGCAGAGATGGATAGGCTCACAAAAGAATTAAAAGAGAAAGAAGAATCTGAATATTACTCCGCATAGAATTTATGGTATAATTGGCTAAAGAAAGGGTGGGGGGGGCAGAAAGCAAAAAAGAAAGGAAGAAAGATCAACAAATTAATAAACAACTACAAAACCGGAAAATGATTAAAAGATAGAAATACAAAGTAGACTGTAGGAAATAAATAATAGGAAATGGATACAAAATGATTCAAATGTAATAAAGGCCGTAATAGTTTCTAGGAAGCAAGAAAGGATAAAAGTTTTGTGATTGCTAGAAAAAAATTAGCAAGATCAAGAATACTTTTTAATGTGATTAGTTTATCCCTGAACTTTTAAGAGCAATTGATAAATTCATACTAAGAGAAATGAGCTAATGCTTTAAACAAGTTGTTCTCAAAACCTTGGGAAATATGTAGGCCTGATAATGGACCATTTACATGATTAGTGGTTTCACCTGCTACTATAATTAATTCCTCCTTGCAAAATAAATTCCCTGGACCTTTTTTTTTTCTATACAATTTAATACATTCAAATCCTCCATCTTGTTCCTAGGCAGTAATTAATTGGAGTTTACTTCCAAATAATGTAAGCTGGTGAAGAAAATTAATCCTAATTTCTTTTTGTTGCTGTTGTTAAAGTTTAGTTTGAAGCAGCCAGCAAATAAACTTTTCAAATCTAATATCTATGCCCAGTCAGCAGTTGAGAACTTGGTTTCTAAGTTATATCTACTATGTGTGAATGGCTAACTCTGGTTTATTGAGTAAACTACTGCATAGCTCAAACATTGCATTAAACCATAAACCACAGTTTACAAAATACTGAAGGCTAACTATCTCCAAACAAACCACCTTCTAGGAATCCAGGCTTAAAGTACAAATAGTATTGCAGCCATGTGCTATGTTCCATTTGCTTATATTAACTGAAGGAAAATTTTCAGTTAATTTGATTCCTTTGCAATGAAATTACTGGCTTAGACTGTATGCCCTAAAACAACATTTTTTTCCCTGTCCAAAGTAGTTGAGATACTGTGGGTGCTGATTCATCAACAATATTGCTTGTTGAATCATTTTTTTCCTCAAAAAGAGCAGATGTGGGCACCAACAGTAACTAAGGAAGAAAAGACTGAAATAGTGAAACAGACAGCAGAGCACAATAAATCCACTACTCTCTTTCAACATGTAACGCTCTCATAAATTTACCGTCAACATCTGTACTGTTAAAAGCTTGGGTTGAATTGCAAAAGCAGTATGTTCATTAACAGACCTGTCACTTGTTCTTGATGTACTTTGATCTCTTAGGAGCCGACCTGCTTGGTTGCCTGCCTGGAATAAAACATGGCTAGGGTGGAAAAGTTTGCTTTTCACATACCTACTCTGGAGGAAGTGGCTGATGGTAAGCAAGCATGGTTCTTCAGGGTTATAAAAGCTGTGAGGAGAAGAATCGGTATAACAGCAGCAGTTAGAAAAGCAGGATATATAGGGCAGCGTGTATATTTGTTTAAAAGGGAGGCAAGATTTCTTTCCCCACATTCTGAACATGTAGAGATGTCCTTGAAGGGAACACTTGGAAGTCATTATAGAGACAAGGGCAGAAGCACTCCTTAATCTCTGGGAAAGGTGATCATTTTAAGAACACTCCCATCAACACAAAGAGAGTCCGTCACTGTAGCTATTTCAGTAAAATATAATTATAGTCTTTGCTTAACCATTTGTTGAGCAATGGTGAATGATTTAGCATTGGCCCGCAATGTTATGGCTGTTGCAATCACATAAATAAAAGTCTGAGTGTTTGGCAACGGCCCGCAGTTACAACCACAGCATTGGAGGAGTCGTGGTGGTGCAGTGGTTAGAAGGCAGTATTGCAGGCTAACTCTGTCCACAGCCTGGAGTTTGATCCTGACCGGCTCAAGGTTGACTCAGCCTTCCATCCTTCCGAGGCTGATAAAATGAGGACCCAGATTGTTGAGGGCAATATGATGACTCTGTAAACTGCTTAGAGGGGGCTGTAAAAGCCCTGTGAAGCAGTATATAAGTCTTTAAGTGCTATTGCTATATTGCATTCTTCAATTTTCTTTGAAATCATCTATTTTCCTTCCANGTCACATGGCCAGCAAGCCACTCCCACAAAGCAGGCCACACCTACAGAAGAGGTTCTAAAAAAATTTGAAACCCACCACTGCTCAGGACCATTGGCCAAACCATCGTTAAGACATCTGGAGGTCAGCAGGAGGGTGGATGACAGCCTCAAAAACATTACTGAGCATTTCCACCCCCCAAAAAGTAGTGTGAAATTGTAAATTTACCTCATATTCTCGCACCGTTTTTAAAGGGAGATGCTTCTTGCCGTAGTATTTCTCCACGAAAGGAAATACAATTCCTCTATCTTTCATTCTCCTCTTCTGTTCGTCTTCTGGAATTCTGTGCCTTTCCTGCCCTTTTCTGACATATCTGCGAGACTTCCTTGGTTTGCTCTCCGTGGGCTTCCATCTTTCGCGGAACCGGTACTGCTTCCGTGTGAAGTGGTAATCGAAGAGGGCTCGAAGATCAATTTTAGGCTTGGGTAACTTCGTCTGACTCTCAGCCTTCGCACCAGCTGGGGAAGGACCGCTCTGCATAGCCACAGAAGATGATTGGCCGGCATCTTTTGTTGAATTCAAAGCTTTTTTCCTTGAGTGCTTTGATGAATGTGGGCCAGATCTGAAGTCATGAAAGATAAGATTTACTTTCTAGTAGCCATCTCTCCCCCACTCCCAGCAAGCCCAAACCTATGTTGAACATGGATGATTAATTCTTTACTCAGGGTAAATAACTTTTCAATAGAGATGGATGCAAAATAGCTACTGGGAGGTATTCCACCCACAAAGCATGGTAGAAACTATCTCTCTGTGTAAAATTGCACACGAGCCAAAGACATATACATAGATACATACATAGATACCGTATTTTGGGAGTATGACGCACCATGATTTTGAAGAGGCAAATTTTTTAAAAAAGTTTTTGTACTCTCCAGACATCCCAAAAGCAGCCCATTTTTTGCAAAAACAAGCCCATTTTTGTCAAAAAAAATGGCATGCATAGCCTTTAGGAGGCTTATAGAGTGCTCCTGGAGGCTGTGAGCAAAAAAACAGCAAATTTTCCCCTCATTTCTGCCCTCCCCAGCCCCCAGGAGCACTCTGGAAGCCTCCTAAAGGCTATGCACGGCCCTTTTTGCAAAGCGGGCAGGGTTTCGGAAGGCCAAAAATGCTGCATTCAGTGTATAAGACACACCCAGATTTTCACCCTCTTTTTGGGGAAGAAAAGGTGCGTCTTATACTCCGAAAAATATGGTACATATGTACGTACAAACATACAAACATACATATATATATACATACATATATATACATATATATACATACATATACATACATACATACATACATATATATATATATATAGATGACATTCAGGAATCTGTTAAAAAGCTGCCTATTCTCCCAGGTCTTTGGATAGGCTGATATTTAAGCATCCTTTTAAATGTTTTTTACAAAATGTAAATTATCCAGAATCATTAGTGCAGTTAGTGCTCTGCTTACAATAGTTTAGTGACTGTTTGAAGTTACAATGGCACTGAAGTGACTTGTGACTGTTTTTCACACGTATGAGCGTTGTCACACCTCCATGCTCACATGATCAAAATTCAGGTGCTTGGTAACTGACTCATATTTATGACGGTTGTAGTGTCCCGGGGTCATGTGATCACCGTTTGTGACCTTCTGACAGGAGCAAAATCGATGGGGAAAACCAGAATCACTTAACAACCGCGTTACCAATTTAACAACTGTAGTGATTCATCTAAAAAAGGTGGCAAGGAAAGTCGTAAAATGGGGCAAAATCCACTTAACACTTGGCAAAATAAATTTGGGGCTCAACTGTGATAAGTTTAGGACTAACTGTAGTAAATTGCTCTAATAAACAAAAGACGGAAAGCAAGATTGTTAGGAATATAATCTAATGGTTGGGTTTGGCAATATACGAATCATGTAACAATGCTATACCTGTTTCTTTAAACCATAGTGTAAAATGTGATTGGTTGCTGTTTTCC